TTGGGCAGATTGACCTGTCGTGAGGAGCCTCGTACGTGGAAATGAAGGGTGGATGCGGCTATGCGTTAGCTCCCCAATGATGATGATGGTATATGAAAATAAAAAGCAAAATTTGCCACAGAGTTGAAAGATTAGAATGTATGTCTGTCTTTAGATGCCTATTTTATGTGTAACTGTGACAACATCATATGGCCATATATATCTAGAGGATATAATAGACACAAGTATCCAGCCTCATACAGTTGCATATCTAGAAGAGCTATCAAAATCAGCAATTCAGAAGTGAAAAGAACTTGGTTACCATGTTACCATGGTATATATACCATCGAAACAGTTTAGCAGCGAAAAAGTTTGATGGTATATATACCATCGAAACAGTTTAGCAGCGAAAAAGTTTGATGGTATATATACCATCGAAACAGTTTAGCAGCGAAAAAGTTTGATGGTATATATACCATCGAAACAGTTTAGCAGCGAAAAAGTTTGATGGTATATATACCATCGAAACAGTTTAGCAGCGAAAAAGTTTGATGGTATATATACCATCGAAACAGTTTAGCAGCGAAAAAGTTTGATGGTATATATACCATCGAAACAGTTTAGCAGCGAAAAAGTTTGATGGTATATATACCATCGAAACAGTTTAGCAGCGAAAAAGTTTGATGGTATATATACCATCGAAACAGTTTAGCAGCGAAAAAGTTTGATGGTATATATACCATCGAAACAGTTTAGCAGCGAAAAAGTTTGATGGTATATATACCATCGAAACAGTTTAGCAGCGAAAAAGTTTGATGGTATATATACCATCGAAACAGTTTAGCAGCGAAAAAGTTTGATGGTATATATACCATCGAAACAGTTTAGCAGCGAAAAAGTTTGATGGTATATATACCATCGAAACAGTTTAGCAGCGAAAAAGTTTGATGGTATATATACCATCGAAACAGTTTAGCAGCGAAAAAGTTTGATGGTATATATACCATCGAAACAGTTTAGCAGCGAAAAAGTTTGATGGTATATATACCATCGAAACAGTTTAGCAGCGAAAAAGTTTGATGGTATATATACCATCGAAACAGTTTAGCAGCGAAAAAGTTTGATGGTATATATACCATCGAAACAGTTTAGCAGCGAAAAAGTTTGATGGTATATATACCATCGAAACAGTTTAGCAGCGAAAAAGTTTGATGGTATATATACCATCGAAACAGTTTAGCAGCGAAAAAGTTTGATGGTATATATACCATCGAAACAGTTTAGCAGCGAAAAAGTTTGATGGTATATATACCATCGAAACAGTTTAGCAGCGAAAAAGTTTGATGGTATATATACCATCGAAACAGTTTAGCAGCGAAAAAGTTTGATGGTATATATACCATCGAAACAGTTTAGCAGCGAAAAAGTTTGATGGTATATATACCATCGAAACAGTTTAGCAGCGAAAAAGTTTGATGGTATATATACCATCGAAACAGTTTAGCAGCGAAAAAGTTTGATGGTATATATACCATCGAAACAGTTTAGCAGCGAAAAAGTTTGATGGTATATATACCATCGAAACAGTTTAGCAGCGAAAAAGTTTGATGGTATATATACCATCGAAACAGTTTAGCAGCGAAAAAGTTTGATGGTATATATACCATCGAAACAGTTTAGCAGCGAAAAAGTTTGATGGTATATATACCATCGAAACAGTTTAGCAGCGAAAAAGTTTGATGGTATATATACCATCGAAACAGTTTAGCAGCGAAAAAGTTTGATGGTATATATACCATCGAAACAGTTTAGCAGCGAAAAAGTTTGATGGTATATATACCATCGAAACAGTTTAGCAGCGAAAAAGTTTGATGGTATATATACCATCGAAACAGTTTAGCAGCGAAAAAGTTTGATGGTATATATACCATCGAAACAGTTTAGCAGCGAAAAAGTTTGATGGTATATATACCATCGAAACAGTTTAGCAGCGAAAAAGTTTGATGGTATATATACCATCGAAACAGTTTAGCAGCGAAAAAGTTTGATGGTATATATACCATCGAAACAGTTTAGCAGCGAAAAAGTTTGATGGTATATATACCATCGAAACAGTTTAGCAGCGAAAAAGTTTGATGGTATATATACCATCGAAACAGTTTAGCAGCGAAAAAGTTTGATGGTATATATACCATCGAAACAGTTTAGCAGCGAAAAAGTTTGATGGTATATATACCATCGAAACAGTTTAGCAGCGAAAAAGTTTGATGGTATATATACCATCGAAACAGTTTAGCAGCGAAAAAGTTTGATGGTATATATACCATCGAAACAGTTTAGCAGCGAAAAAGTTTGATGGTATATATACCATCGAAACAGTTTAGCAGCGAAAAAGTTTGATGGTATATATACCATCGAAACAGTTTAGCAGCGAAAAAGTTTGATGGTATATATACCATCGAAACAGTTTAGCAGCGAAAAAGTTTGATGGTATATATACCATCGAAACAGTTTAGCAGCGAAAAAGTTTGATGGTATATATACCATCGAAACAGTTTAGCAGCGAAAAAGTTTGATGGTATATATACCATCGAAACAGTTTAGCAGCGAAAAAGTTTGATGGTATATATACCATCGAAACAGTTTAGCAGCGAAAAAGTTTGATGGTATATATACCATCGAAACAGTTTAGCAGCGAAAAAGTTTGATGGTATATATACCATCGAAACAGTTTAGCAGCGAAAAAGTTTGATGGTATATATACCATCGAAACAGTTTAGCAGCGAAAAAGTTTGATGGTATATATACCATCGAAACAGTTTAGCAGCGAAAAAGTTTGATGGTATATATACCATCGAAACAGTTTAGCAGCGAAAAAGTTTGATGGTATATATACCATCGAAACAGTTTAGCAGCGAAAAAGTTTGATGGTATATATACCATCGAAACAGTTTAGCAGCGAAAAAGTTTGATGGTATATATACCATCGAAACAGTTTAGCAGCGAAAAAGTTTGATGGTATATATACCATCGAAACAGTTTAGCAGCGAAAAAGTTTGATGGTATATATACCATCGAAACAGTTTAGCAGCGAAAAAGTTTGATGGTATATATACCATCGAAACAGTTTAGCAGCGAAAAAGTTTGATGGTATATATACCATCGAAACAGTTTAGCAGCGAAAAAGTTTGATGGTATATATACCATCGAAACAGTTTAGCAGCGAAAAAGTTTGATGGTATATATACCATCGAAACAGTTTAGCAGCGAAAAAGTTTGATGGTATATATACCATCGAAACAGTTTAGCAGCGAAAAAGTTTGATGGTATATATACCATCGAAACAGTTTAGCAGCGAAAAAGTTTGATGGTATATATACCATCGAAACAGTTTAGCAGCGAAAAAGTTTGATGGTATATATACCATCGAAACAGTTTAGCAGCGAAAAAGTTTGATGGTATATATACCATCGAAACAGTTTAGCAGCGAAAAAGTTTGATGGTATATATACCATCGAAACAGTTTAGCAGCGAAAAAGTTTGATGGTATATATACCATCGAAACAGTTTAGCAGCGAAAAAGTTTGATGGTATATATATATATATATATATATATATATATATATATATATATGTATATATATGTATATATATGTATATATATATATATATATATATATATATATATATATATATATATGTATATATATACATATATATATGAATATATGTGTAAAACATATATACAGCATATATATGTACTATATACTATGAGTATGTGTGTGTGTATATATATATGTGTGTGTGTGTGTGTGTGTGTGTGTGTGTGTGTGTGTGTGTGTGTGTGTGTGTGTGTGTGTGTGTGTGTGTGTGTGTGTGTGTGTGTGTAAGTATATATACATATACATATATACATATAATATATATATACATTTTTTATACAAATAACCAAATACATAAATATATAAATATATAAAATATATAAATTCATAAAATTAATTATGATGACTATAGATATAGATAAAGATATAGATATGGATATACATATAAATGCTATATAGATAGAAATAGGAAATATTTCATAAAAATGCAAACATCTACAAGTTGGTATATGTACATTCACATTATATTCCAGGTATATGTGCACAAGAGTGAGTGTGCATCTGCATATATGTGCATGCCAATATTTCTCTGTATGCAACAATATAAATGCATATTTTGCTATAAAGGAATTTACTGTGTGTGATAAATATTATTTGTAATTTAAGTTGTACATTTCACTAACTAGTAAGATATAGCAAAAATTATGGTAAAGTTTCAGTTTCCCACAGCCATGTAATGGAGAGAATGAAAAAGGACACTTTTCATATATGGTACTACCTTTGCAATTAGATAAGAAAGATGTATATCAAATAATATTTTGGTATACATTTACTGGAAAATGTAAGGGTAATATAACATTAAAAGAAAACAATTTACTAATATATCAAATAATATACATAGGCACAAATATGTTAAAAATGAAGAAAACGTCACAACAAATACTGCACAGAGTAAGTCCAAGGCAAATGGGTAGGGGTCAAGGAATGGAGCTGCTGAGAGTTAAAGGCTGGTCTTCGGTTCATACAGTGATGTTTGTGATTTCCCAGGAATGGCTGGAGCAATAGGGACAATCTCAGAAGGCATTTTTGCCTACTTCAGATTGCGTTAATCAGATTTAATAGACTTTTATACAATTTTCAGCAACCATTCAAGATTTTGATGCATGTCAGTACAATTGTCAAGTTGTTAATACCTCTTATTTAATGATAACTGCTTAACACGTCCTACCTACTAAGTGCTTCCTTAGCATCGCCCCTTTAATAAACGCTGATATACCTATCTTCTGTTCTCCAGAAAGTAACCCGTCTTCATTATTTTTGTGCATGCTGTTCATGAGTATTAAGTGATATCTAATCTATTCCTAAAACTAGTAACGTCCTCTTGTTACTATACAATATTAAGCAACTTGGGATGCTCACATGTTACTGCCTCTTCGCTTGTTTTCTCCTGCCCAGGGCTGCCAAGATTACGTAACATATTAAAGCCCAAAATGTAAACAGTATTTATTCCTGCAAATGAAACATGTGAATAAGCCCTAACCAACGTTTTACCATTTTCATTCATATTACCACATAACATTTTTTTTTAACTAAATGGGACGATAATAAATATGTGGAAACTTCTTTCATTAACAGTTGGTACTGCTGTGTAGACTACGAAGTCTCTCCCGATCATCGAGGACCTTAACACTACATCACATCCCATATGGTAATAATTTATTTGCTTTACTATATACTGGAGAGAGTATATAGAATGCATTGTGACACACTTCTCCCGCTGTAGTATTATGTAATGTTCCGTGATGCTCACTTTGCCCTTATATTGTTGATATTATTTTTTAAAAGAACCTGTTCAGTTTTTTTTATGGTTTTAAGGGTCATGAATGGGGGATACCGTAGCCAGACCAAAGGCCTTTTTTTAATATTGCAACGGGGGAGACATCTGGATTATTTATTGGAGCTACTGAATAAAATAAATGTATAAATGCAATGGCTTTATTATGTCTTTTCTTTCAAATTAATTTAATAATTTAAAGGATCAAGAGAAGGATATGGATGGATAATTACTTTGCTATACTAAAGAATGGGCTACTTCAAACACTTTTGAAAGATGCAAGTCCTGATGACTTTATAAGAACATGAAATAAAAGTTATACTTGAACATAGGAGTTTTTGAAGCATATGACCATGAAAGTAATCTCTAACCATCAGACTGCTTGAAATTTACCATGCCGCTTGGTCGACCCGGCTTGGGTTTAACTTTTCTCTTACACAGATTGACACGCACATACACTTACGCCACACAGCATTCAGACGCCTTCTACTGTCTCGCATGTACTTGGGTTCTGACACGCCAAATGTTAACCAGGGAATTTTAAAAAGTGAACTCGAGGCCATTAGAAGACCTTGAGGAGTTACAGTATCACTACAACGGATTATTCTTTTAAAATGAACATGCCATCTGTAAATTTGTCGCGTGATACATTTTTGTAAACTTTTTGTAAGCTTCTAATAAATAAAATCAAATGTTTTATAACTTTTGTAACTTCTATACATTACCACAGTCCTTTTTCAGAATACCTTTGCATTACTGATCGCGACAATTTTGGTAAAGATTGATTCTTTTCATTCTATACTATCAAAATATATCGAAATTATGCTGCTAACCCTTCATCCCTCTGTTAGTGACAATCTTGGCCTCGCTGGCAGAACAGGGTATGGAAGGTACCAGGGAAATTGCGGAGTAAAATATGATATGCAGGATTAGTCTCTACATTGCTTAATGCAGGGGCTGTCCTCCCTGGTACACCCTTCCTAGGGGAGTGAGTCTCTCGCCCCCTAACCCCGCAATGAAAGACAATGAATCCACATATTCACGGCAAAGGAGAGCGTACGATCGACATCAGGGGCCCCGATGCCGAGTCTGTCCATCGCTCTATCCTGCCGTGAATAAGTGAATGATTCTTTGCGGTTTCGCCGCGCAATGTACCGATCAGCTGATTACCGTTAACAAACTGCCCTTGACATTGAGATTTGTCGCGGGAGAGATGAATTGATTTTCTGATTGAGACTGTACTCGAAACTAATATACAAGACTAACATCTCACACGCATTAATGGATAACAAAAATAATAAGACTAAAAGAAATATATGTTGCAGATAAGTTTATTATGAAGTTGGCGTCCATTTTGGTTGATTACCCCCAACCATCGCCCTGCTCGTCAAGCATGCCTCATGAAACGTTTTGCCGCGCAACGTCTGGTGCGCGTTGCCCACATCTCCCGGGGCCGGTTGCGACAGCAACAATGCCAATGTTTCTACACTGATGGCAAAGGTTCGACTCCACCCTCATTCCTAGGAATCATGCTTATGTTGACGAATCTGATTTTATTTTTTAGATATTGTAAATTATCAATCATTAGGAAATAACAATACATACAAGCTATTAGTTATCTACATCTTAAAATTGCCAAAATAAAATAACAAAAATTATCAAAAGCAGTTGAAAATACACGGGCCCTGAGCGCCTCCCATCATCTTTTTTTCTTTCATCTGTTGACATCGGTTTCGAATGTCACACTTCTTTATGTTTTGAAAATTTATGAATCGATATTAATTATATTTAAAAGCATAATGAACATGAAGTTTACGCCTTCATGTTGCAATTTTTTGTACACAAGAAGTAAACAGATTATGTAAAACTTAATATATTGCTCTTCTTAGCCACGGCCCAATTGGTATGAAAGCATTTTGATATTAAAGCTTATTCTCTATATTGTTATCTATGATAGAAGTGTAGAGCCCTCGTTTTTACTGACAAAAAGGTTGTAGATAGACAGGATGTCAGAGAAATTTGTCTAAACTCATCAGGGCATCCAGGTTTTGGAATGGGAATAATGGTAGCTTGTTTCCAGGAAGTGGGTAAGATGAATGAAGTATATGTTAAGTTGAAGAGATCAAGAAGAGTATTTCTTCCATTTACCTGTACCTTTGCAAGGAGTTGGATGATGTTATAAGTTGCTTTATTTCATTATCTTTCTTTAGGTGATGAGCTCGTTTGCTTCTAGAGAATGGAGACCTATGTTTGACAGGGTTTCTGGGGGTAGAGTTGGTTAATGATGTTTCCAACTTGATGACAGAGAGTTTCATTAAAATTATGAAGGCTGGTAGGAGTAAAGTCTTCACACTTGCAGCCAACCCCTTTAAGCTTACCATGATGTTCAGTAGCAAGATGATATCGAAGGCGCGGCTGGGGTGGGCTTTTGCAAAATAGGAGGATTATACTTGATGTCCAATGGTCACTGACTAAGAATGGACTTTCGCAGTTCTTGGGAGTGTGTGCTGATTATATAGAGTTATATAATAGGTATAGGTAATGAGTCTTTTCTAAGGGGTATGGCTGGTGTATAGGATCACTAGTGTTTTGGAGATAGTCATAATAAACCTTACCGTTTTTGCCTATGGTGCTTCCCTCACAGCCCATGAGAGGATGACGAGCATTAAAATCCCCACACAATAAAACAGTATCACTATGTATCATACTGTCAGGAGGCTTAGGTACCACTTCACTATCATGCAGGTTATATACATTAATGATGGTAATAGTTTTACCATCAAGAAAGATATTTGGCACATATGTTGTCATGTTTGTCATCGATCACTTTTGATGTAATAATATTCTTAATGTAAATACCAATTCCTCTCGTAGAAGGATTAGCAATATTAGGTTTGTCATATGTGTATCTGGCAGTTTTTGCACTACAAGCTTTAATTTTAACTTCTCGAAGGCCACACACATCAACATCTTCAGAGTTGCCTTTCATTTCTGTAAACTGCTAATGTTCCAGGTAATGCATCTCAAAAGATTTTTTGGAACCATCACTTATCACTTGACTATTTCCATTGCCAGATTAGGAATACAAACACCCTTTCCTGGAACTGGGATTGCTGGACTATCTGTTGCTGCATCATGAACATCATCTGCTCCATCTGCTTGAGCAGCATTTGTAGCAGATCCTTTATTTCACTCTTGCTTGACCTACTGTAGTGAGGGCTGAGCTGGAGTTGGTGTCGGTGCTGGAGCTGGTGCTGCAGCTGGTGCTGGAGTGAATGGGGCAGTAACTCCTGTCGGTGTTGGTACTGTGGCCGGTGCCATGGCTTTTCTATGCAGGGGCCATCAGAGGTAATCTCTGCAGGTGTGGAAATTCCGCCACATCATGAATGCGAGGGGCTGGGAGGGCCTTCCTGAAGGGAAGGGCTGCCTGCTTTTTTGGGCTGCTTACCTTCCTATCTTTTGGGCAGTAAGCGCACAATGGAGAATTTGCATTGTGCTCCTGCCGACAGTTAATTCATTTCCGAGAGATAGCTTTTCCTTCAGAAATCTTTTCTTCGCATCCTGAGTTTCCGTGAGGAAGAGCGCAGTATCGTCTTCGCAGTGCGTCTCGTGGCCAAGCATGTGCTCCGTGTCCCCACTTCGAAAAATTTGAGCAGAATGGGGTAAGGGATTTGAAGACGGCACACCTAAAGAGTGCCATGCCCTCGACCATTTTAATAGTTTTAGGGATGATTTTTTGGGTCATCAGTCTTTATACTTTCCGTGCTTGGCGTGTACTTTTTTTTGTCTGATTTGCGAAGCAGAGCCTCGCCCGGGCTATACCCATGAGGGGAGCCCGGTTTTGGCTTGTATGACGCGTTTATTGTACGAAGTCGTTTCTTCGGTTTCAGTTTCCCATGGGACGTCGAACATAATGACATTTGTGCATTTCCCTTTCCCAAAAACCTTGGCTTTTGTTTATTCTTGCAGTTCATGTAAACATTATTTCCCAATATTTATTTCTATTGATCCCTTTATCTTGTTGAAAGGGTCCATTTTTAGGACCTAGGCCTGAAGTGCGTACACAGGTGTCCGGGAGACATTATCTCTGCAGAGGCAGGTAGTTTCCTCTTGGCTTTACGGAGGACAGCATACCTGCCTCCGTTTCCGTGCTCGTCTGTGGGCATTTTCCGTTTGTGGGCGGGGTCATTCCGCGAACACACATTTGTGAGCGTGTAGGTTATTTTTTCATTTCTTTTCCTTCAGTGTATATCATTAGGATCACTTTACTCTACTATCATGCCCAATGCTTATGAGAACATTTTCACGCACTGGTGCAATGTGCAGCCGGCAGGTCTGTGAAGACCTTAATTGTCAAGGTAACATGAATCCCTTAGGGACAGGTCAAAGTCACGAGAGGTCACACTGCACGTCCTCACGCTATGGTGACGGGACATTAGCTGGAGAGAGAGGGAGGGAGAGAGAGAGAGAGAGAGAGAGAGAGAGAGAGAGAGAGAGAGAGGCGAAGAGAAAGAGGAGAGAAGGGGAGAGAAAGAAGCTAGAGAGGGGGGAGGGGAGATAGATAGATAGAGAGAGAGAGGACGAGAAAGAGAGGCGGTGGGGAGAGATAGAGAGA